CTGAAGCTGCCCTGGACCAACACGGAAAAATACCCACCCGCCCTTCCCATTTGCCTTGCTGTTGTCTCTTTTTTCTGTTTTCAGGTAATAATGACCGCCGCGGTACTTAGCCCTTCTTCGTCATGGCTGGAATTATCATTTCAACAGTCAATATAGGTTTATTCGACATCCGGAAATTTACCAACGTCGACTGCCAGACCCTTATCATTTGAATCCGACGTCGGTTCAAAACATACATTTAACTGGCCTGTGCATAAGCATAAACTCGTTAATTTCGAACACCTGTGGGATGCAACTGACTTTCAGATATTTGTAGTAACCTGTAACCGATTACGGTACAAAACAAAACACTTTTTCAGATGCCATAATTAACTTAACCCATGTGTAAATATAACACATATTGTTTAAAAAAAAAAGTATTGATATACTGGTTTTTATCATTACATTGTTATACATGGTTTCAAGCAAACTTACATTAAATATCTGACTACTTTCTACTATTCAATTAAAATAATATTTTTCTGATAAAGAACGTTTCTCTTTATAGAGCTGTATATTTTTGTTTTTTATATATTTATTGGCATATCTGAGCAGGTCCGTTGTTCTATATTCCGAGGAATAGTCTGAGGAGGTTTCCTCCGTGCATGCCAACGGATGCTACGGTTCCTCTTAAAAAAGGGGGTTTTACGTAGGCGGCCAGTATTCCTAAGACGAATATACGATCAAACCTGTTGAGTAATTGTTCTGGTTTGAAATGTCCTAGACATTCAATGGCAGTTTTGATCGTGATATGCTTGATAAATGTATATATATATATATAAACACATGGCTGTATCACTCTTTTCAAAATTTAACTAATTTTATTGATAATTTTTATAAAGCATAATTTATAAGCTTCCATCATCAAGTGTTTATCATATCTGGCATTTGTCAGCACGTTGTCCCTTTTTCGAAACATAATTTAATCGATTATATCTGAATAAACATATTAAGCTTCCGATATCCGGAGCAATTTATAAAATGTCACTTCCGACTGTTAGGATATGAGCTTTAGTCCTATAATACTATAATTGATATACATGTAATTGTTAATATTATTCTATTACAAATTGTCTGGAATATTTAATGCTCTTATTCAGCCATGGATAAGGCGAAAATCTAACATAAAATTACAGGTTTTTGCAATCGATGACGAAGCAAAACCTATTTTATAATATTCTAGTTTATATAAAAGTTTCAAACTCTATTAACTTTGTTACTTAATGACCAGTCATGACGGAAATTTTATGCCAACCATAAATAAAATAAGTTAAACATATATGTTGCATTTATTTCATTTGTTCCTTTAAAGTGACTATGTTGGAAAAATAAATGTACATATTATGAAAAGAATGAAGATAAGACAACTTTAACATAATGTGTCAACAGTTTATTTATTTAAAAGCTTTACATTTTCATAATAATAGAAGACTATTCACAAATTGATTATATTATCATGCATGTATTTTATTATGTGTCCACAGTATATTTATCTAAAAGCTTAGAATTTTCAGAATACTGAATAAAAGAAGATAATTCTTAAATTGATAATATTATCAAGCATGTGTTTTATTTATAGTATGTATCATTGAATCTCTGTCCATTTTGTAATAAAATAAAGAGATTATAACTAATAGAAACACAGTTCTCAACAAACATGGGTTATTTTCAATAAAAATGTTTGTCTAAGCCTGCGTTTGAATTCTGGTTGGTCTAAAATGAGGTTATTCCAATGAAGCTGTTTTTCTGTAAGCCTGTGTGTGCTTATTTCATGAGTTCTCATTCACATAACTTAGAATTCACTAGTAATAGTAAATTTCTTGAATTGAAATTAAATATGAGCCACATCCAAAAGAAATATTGTCTTTATATTTTCTTAGTTGTCAATAATTATAAATAACTTCTAATATATGATTTGTCATCTGAGCCTGCGTCATGGATTTCCATGGTTGTCAATAAATAAGAGTCACTTCTAACAGTCCGACTAATAGACACGTTGTTGTCTAAACCTGCATCGTTTATTTTTGGAGTTGTCATTACATATGGGTGATATGTAAAAGAATAGATGTTCTCTAAGCCAGCGTCATTGATTGGCTGGGCAGTAAATACAAATAGTTCACATTCAATTTTTCTCTAAACCAGCGTCGTTGACTTTCAGGGTTGTCATTACACATGGGTCACTTCCAATAGGGTCGTTTTCATCTAAGCCATCGTCGTTGATTCCTGAGTTGTCATTATACATGGGTTAAATCTAACAGGATAGATTTTCTTTAAGTATGTGTCATTGATTTCTTCAGTTGTCATTTTACATGGTTCGCCTTTAATTAAATAATTGATCTCTAAGCATGCGTCGTTGCTATGTTGAGCTTTCATTTCGCATGGGTATTTTCCAGTAGAATTCTTGCTCTTTAAGCCCGCGCCGTTGAATTTCCGGGGTTTCATTAAATATGAGCCTCTTACAGTATTTGTTGTTCCCTAATCCTGCGTCGTTGATTTCATTTCATGAGTTGTCATTTCAGATAAGAAATATCAATATCTTATTTCCATGGTTGTCACAAATGGTAATTACAAATCACTCCTAATATATAAGCCTGCCATTTCCATGGTTGTCAAAAATACGAGTAACTTCTAACAGAACCGCTGTTTTTTAAACCCGTGTCGTTAATTTCGGAAGTTGTCATTACACATGGGTGAGATGCTCTCTCAGTCAGCGTAGTTGATTCGCTGGTGTGTAATTATAAATAGTTCACATTTAATAGAGTCGTTGTTCTCTAAGCCTGCGTCGTTCATTTTGTGAGTAGTCCTTACGCATGGGTCATTTCCAATAGAATTGGGATTCTCTAAATCTGAGTTGTTGATTATCTGGGCTATTTTTACACAATAGAATCTATGTTCTCTAAGCTGTCGGTGATTTCCGGCTTTGTCGCTTTGTCATAACACATGGATCGGCTCCTTAAGAATCAAGTTTTCTTAAGCCTGTGTCGCTTATTTCCATGGTTGTCATCTATTATAAATCACTTCTTATATATGCTATGTCATATGAGCCTGCGTCATGGATTTCCCTGTTTGTCAGTAAACACGAGTCACGTCTAACAGAACCGCTGTTGTCGAAACCCGCCTCGTTAATTTCAGGATTTGTATCCCATGGGTGATATGTAAAAGAATAGTTACTCTCTGAGCCAGCGTAGTTGATTAGCTGGGCTGTAATTACAAATAGTCACATTTAATGGAGTCGTTGTTCTCAAGCCTGCGTCGTTGATTTTGTGAGTAGTCATTACACATGGGTCACTTCCAATAGGATTGGGATTCTCTAAGCCATCGTCGTTTATTTCATGAGCTGTCATTATAGATGGGTCACATCTAATAGGATGTATTTTCCTTCATTGGATATGAGTCATATCCAACTGAATATCCTAATTGTCATTATACATGGGTCATTTTCATTATGATCAAATTTCTCTAACCTTAAATCATTGATTTTCACAGTTTTAGTAATACATGGTTCCATAAATCACTTCTAATATATGCATTGTCATCTGAGCTTGCGTCATGGATTTCCATGGTTGTCACTAAATAAGAGTCACTTCTAACAGAACCGCGCTGTTATCTAAACTCTCGCCGTTCGTTTTTGGGAGTTGTCATTAAACATGGATGATATGTAAAAGAATAGACATTCTCTAAGCCAGCATCATTGATAAGCTGGACTATAATTAAATATAGTATTAATATTTAATAAAGTCGTTAATTATATGAGTTGTCATTGCATATGTGTCACTTCCAATAGAATGGCTTTTCTCTAAACCAGCATCTTTTGTATTCTGAGTTGTCATTATACACACGTCACATCTATCATGATAAGTTTTCTTTAAGCCTGCGTCATTGATTACACAAAGGTTACTTTCAATTGAATCTATGTTCTCCATTCCAGCATCATTGATTAGCTGGGCTGTAATTACAACTAGTTCACATTTAATAGAGTCGTTGTTCTCGAAGCCTGTCGAAGCCTACGTCGTTGATTTTATGAGTTGTCATTACATATTTGTCACTTCTAATAGGATGGCTTTTCTCTAAGCCAGCATCTTTTTTATTCTGAGTTGTCATTATACATGGGTCACATCTATTATGAAAAATTTTCTTTAAACCTGCGACATTGATTACTAAATGGTTACTTTCAATAGTATTTATGTCCTCCAAGCCAGCATCATTGATTAGCTGGGCTGTAATAACAAATAGTTCACTTTTAATATAGTCATTGTTCTCTAAGCCTGCGTCGTTGATTTTGTGAGTTGCCATTACACAATGATCACTTCCAATAGGATGGCTTTTCTCTAAGCCAGCATATTTTGTATTTTGAGTTGTCAGTATACATGGGTCACATGTAATATGGTAAGTTTTCTTTAAGCCTGCATCATTGATTACACACAGGTTACTTTCAATAGAATCTATGTTCTCTATGCCTGCATCGTTGATTTCTTGGGTTGTCATTAAACATGTGTCACTCCTAATAAATTCGTAGGTTTTAAAGCCTACATCGTCGATTTCTTGAGTTGTTTTTACACAGAAGTCACTTTCAATAGAGTCGTTGTTTTGTGAGCCTCCTTCGATGATTATCTGAGATTTCATTACCCTAAGGTCACACTTGATAGGACTTAAAATTGCTACGAGTGCGCCTTTCCAGGTTGTTATTACGTGAGAACCACTTTTGGTTGTCGTTACATTAGAGCCATCTCCAATGCATTTGAAGTTCCCAAAACCTGCGTCGTCGATTTTCTGAGTTGTCATTACACATAGGCTATAATTATTAGAATTCATGTTCTCCGACCCTGCCTCGCTAATTTTCTGATTGTCCATCACACACAGGTCACTTGCGACAGAGTTGTTGTTCTCTAAGACTGCGTCATTTATTATCTGTTTTGTCATTACACGTCGGTCACATTCATTAGGACCGATCTTTTTCAAGCCTTTACCTAACTACACCCGGGCTTTCGTCGTTAATTATCTGGAATGTCATTATATATGGGTCATATTCAATAAGATTAATCTTCTCAAAACCTGTACCCTGAATTTCCCGTGTTTTAAGTACACGTTGATCACTATTAATAGGACCGGTGATGCCTATGCCTGTGTCGTTAATATCCTGGTTTGTCATTTCACTCCGAGTAGGAACTGTTTTCTCCGAGCCCAAATCAAAGAAATCAATGATTTCTCTGGTTGTCATTACATATGAGTTACTTGAAATAGTATCAATTTTCTCTGAACCTGAAACTGTGTCATTTATTTTGTTGATTGTCATTACGTATGATTCACTTTCAAAAGGATCAATGGTTTCTAAGCCTGCGTCGATGATTTTCTGGATATCCAATAAACATGAATCACTTCCAACAAAAACTCTGCTTTCTAAGCCTTCTTCATTGTTGTTACCCTGATTTTTCAATACATATGGATTTATTTTGATAGACTCGATATTCTCAAAGCATATGTCGTTGTTTACCAGGATTGCCATTACACGTTGGTCACATCCAACCAGATTAATTTTTTGTAAGCCTGCATCGTTAATTTTCTTTGTGGTCATTATATGTGGGTTACTTTCAATAGACTTTCTCTTGTCTAAGCCCGCAATGTTGATGCCTTCAGTTAAAACAATAGAATCGTTGTTCTCTAAGCCCATAATGTCTATGTCCTGGTTTATCATTACATATGGCTCACTCCGTTTCTCTAAACCTGCTGTAATGATTTCCTCACTTGTAGTCACACATGATTCAACTCTAATAGAATCGTTGTTCTCTAAGCCTGCGTCGCTGATTTTCTGGGCTATTACTGCAAATGGGTCACTTCCTATAGTATCGTCGTTTTCCAAGCTTGCATCAATGATTTCCTTGGTTGTCATAATACAATGGTATTTTTCAAAAGAAATGTTGTCCTGTAAACATGTCTTATTGATTTCTTCTATTGCCATTATACCAGGTTGTTCACTGCTGTTCTTTAGGCCTGTATTGTTGATTTTCTGGGTTGTCATATAGCATGGGTCAATTCTAATAAATTTGTTCTTTAAGACTGCGTCATGTATTTTGTCAGTTGTCGTTACACATGGTTTATATCCAATAGAATTGTTATTTGTTGAGCCTGCATCATTTCTTATGCGGATTGTCTTTTCACATGACTCGCTTCCAACATGTCTACTGCCTTCAAGGCATGCGTCATTGAATAGCAAACTTTTTGTTACATTTCGGTCACTCTCAAAATAATCGTTGTTCTCAAGGCCTACATCGTTGATCTCCCAGAATGTCGTTACCAAAATATTGCCTCCAGTAGGGTAGATTTTCTCAAGGAAAGCATTTCTGTTTTTCTGTATCGTCGTCACAAACATGTTGTTGTAGTTGTTGATGTTGTTGTTGTTGTTGTTACTATTATCATTTTGCTTGAAAAAACTATTTGTATTACCTAATTGGTTTATGATGATATCATCTTCAGCAGGAGCAGGAGCGCTGCTTTTTACATTTCTCTTCTTAAAAACATCGGCAAACAATACAACTCTTCCTTTGTTCCACCATTGCTCCACAGGTGATGACCCTTGCGGTGAAGACATGTGATTTTCGAAAAGCAGCTCAAAAAGCATATTTCTCATTTTTTTCAGTGACGCTTCTCTTTCTTTTTCCTCTTCTTCTGGTGTTTGTTCATTCATTTTCACTTCCATCTTCTTTGTGATAACGTTTTTATCACTACTGCATGCAAGCTCATTTTTGTTATTTGTGTTTGCAATTGAGATCAGTGACGAACCAGTGGCATTTTCAGTTTTTCTTTTAGTTGTACTTAATAGTGTGGGTAGATTGCTGCTTGTGCCTTGTGACCCGTTTTTATGCAAATTTCCAACAGGACTCGCGTGTCTGTTAAGGGCACTTGTAATCTCCATATCATACTTTTTGTTAGTGTGCTCAGTAGGTTGTTTGTTGTATGCTTGGATATTTCCCATGGTTTCGAGACGATCATTCATATCATTTCCTTTGAATTCATCTACTGCAAAACTCACAATGGTATCTTTAGCGTCGGCTCCAATATTATCCTTGGTATCGTGGTGGTCAACTTTATTCTCCTTGGTTTCTCTGATCTCAAATGCAATACTACCCTCTGCTTTGCGGCAATCGGTTTCAATATTTTCCTCATGATGATCTGACACAAACGTGCGTTCCGGTTCAGCAATGACATAGCTAGAATTCGAAGATTTTCGCCCATCGTTTTGGCATTTTCCTTAAAACCAAACAATCATATAATAGGCTCTACTTAATAACATTTATCTAAAAACTCAATCGAGTTTTACCAAAGCATAACAGTAACATTTAGCATTGGATAGTTAAATTTCACTACAACACAATACAATTCATTACAAAACAACACAACACAACACATTGTTTCTAATTTGGTCACCAGTACACACAAATATTCAAAATCACAAGTACGATATACATACATATATATGTACAGAACAGAATCCATGTATTTTACTTACTGCACAGAAATATGTTCAAACAAATAAACATTTCATGTAAATTCTTTCCACACTAAAATATACAAAAACGTTCGTATTTAGTTTACATTATAATTTACTTAGTTATGTTTATTAACATTGAATTTTTAAGCATCCATTCGGAAGCCGTAACGAACAGCCAAAATAAAAAAATTAGTCATCCTGACAATATGATCAATTTGTATACATAGAGAACAGGGTACCTATAATGCGTGATTGTTTTATCTGCGTAGGACAAAGAAACAATAAAAAGACCCCTTTTATTTGCATCCGTAACTAATACTAACTAGCTCACATGACCGTAACAATTCATCGGAATTTACCTGTAACGTTCAATCTATGAAAAGAGTGGGACAGCCTAGGCAGATTCATATTTACAAAAACTGCTTACAGTAGGCCTTTGCAAATATGAAATGACCTTAAGTGTGTGATACGTCATTATAATTAGTTTGTCATCATTAATTGTATATCATATGTATATCTATTGCAAAAGGATGATTACAACATTATGTGTTATCAGACTTACCTTTGTCACTTTCAAAGCGTGTACCCAAGTGGATTTTATCCTCATTAGTGTTTGCTTCCTCCAGTCGCAGTACCGCCCTTGCATTCATGTCTGCCTTTGCCTGTTGGATTTCATTTTCTGAATTGCCACCACTTATGTCCCTTCCAGCTTCTTGGCATGAACCATTCTTCGGATGCTGTTTTGATATTTTGCCTGGAATCACATCTGAAGAACCGTATGATAATTATTTATTGAACTCAAACTGCTTATGATTATTTATTTGTTTTCTATAGTTGGTGTTGTAAAGGGGAGGGGGTTAATTGGAACGTAAAAGAAAAACAAACAAACAAAAAAAAACATTATTTTTAACATCTTAGTTTATATGTTCCGAGGATAATAACACTGACTATTTTTGTAAGTATATGTCTACAATTTTAACGGTAGTCATTTAAAAAGAAATAACGTTAGATTTTTCACCTCTATTTATGCTTACACTTTGCTGTAAGTTTATATAAATATTTGCATTGATAATGCTTTTTCCTATTTACAACGTGGTGCAATTAATTTAAGGATCTTACCACTGTCATTGCCCGAGAGATTTCTATTTCTGGCCACATTTGACTCTTTGCGGCGCATTTCTGCATGCATGCGCATATCAGTCCTCACTTCCTGTACAATGTCTCTGTTTGAATGGTGTCTCCTCGGATTTCTGCGGGTCTTCAATTGACTGTCATTCTTTACAGGCTTTTCTACTGAAGAACTGATGTTAACTTCCAAATCTGTATGTGACAAAACGTTACAAATTACTATATAGTTGCATACATTGTTATATTTGTCGTGTGATAGAAACATATTAAGCTGTGTTTTATGTGAAACTTATGATAAATGTTTATTTAAATTTACGTTAAGACAAGTTTCAAGCTTGAAATTTTATTCACAGTATACGTAATTGTTTTGTTAACGAAAGCAGACTGTTGTATTTTCATGCATTACCAATTTACTTCATTGTTGGCTATGTGGTATTTTACGTATTTTAAGATGCAAACATTAATATTACAAAGCAACAAAAGAATTGAGACTAAAATTCAATGGTGAGAGAAAGTAAAAGACGTTCAGTTCTACTTAGGAATATAGTGCAGTACATAGAGAAGTCTATCGTGTTTAACCATATTCGGTGTCGCATGTGAAAAAAACAACAGTCATACCACTATCACTTTCAGAACTACTTTCTGGTAGGTTTCTATTTCTGGTAAGTCTTGCTTCTCTACGACGCACTTTCGCTTGAGCGCGCATATCTGCCTTTACTTCCTGTACAATATCTCTGTTTAAACGATGTTCTCTAGACTTTCTGTGAGCATTTGAACGCGTGCATTTCATGACTCTGTTTTTATCTTGAGAACATTCAATAACATCTTTGTCTGTGTAAAAGATGGTAAATGGTGTTATTCAATTAACCTATTGATCACAAATTATTATACTCACTTCAAACACGTTTTACCATAAGCAGGACATTAAATAGTATATTAAATACAAAAATATACATTTACAAATGAAAATAGTTTACGTAGAAATCTATAAATATTTGAAACGCCGCATAACAGCGCTGCAGAATAAACGCTTTCGATTTCATTAATGCAGTGATGTACAACCGAGTCCGTTCGGTTCCTATGTACCTTTTTTCCGCAAAAACAGTTCAGTTAAGTTTAAGATCGGACCTATATGTTTGTGTCCAGTTGACAAAGCTTTGAACTAGACTTTTAAAGACGTACATTTCTAACAAATACTTAGTTAGATCGGTAAAAATGAAAAGCAAACACATTGTGCTTTCTACAAAAATGTATAAAATGACGTTTGACCTGACAAAAGGTGGGTGTATATGTCACGTCAGTGCAATGAAACGTCATATGACGTATATCATGGCGTCGCAGTGATGAGCATGTACCTTAGACAACACGTTTCAACCATTTCTATAAAAGTTAATTGTTCATTACGGACAAAAATACAAATCCATCAGTCCTTACAGTTCGCCGTGTGCTCTTTATGCTCTAGAACCACTGGAATGATGCAATTTTTGAGTTTTATTATATCTCTGGTTACACAGGCAACGAAAGAAAAACTTTTGAAGATAAGACCGTCATGTATATTTTTTCAAAACATTTCAAAACATAAACAGATTATATACCCTAACAAAAGGGCTCAGCTGACAATTAAAATCTTTCATTTATTTTGATTCCATGCATAAGACATTTTTTCAATGCCCGGGATAAATGGGGATTTTGACCTTTAGCCAAGCAATTACCTAGCAATGCCCGCGCCAATGTAGGACAGATCTGGTGTTAAAATGATTGATGCTCTTCTACTATACCCCTGTCACTGGTTTTAAAATCTTTTGCTATTTCAAGCTACCGCATAAAACCCAATAGTGTTGGAAAGGCTCTTTTTCACTCGGCACTATCTTTTGCACATCCTTCACCACCACCACCAACAACATTGTCACCTAAACCATCATCAATTATTACCACCATCACAACAACCTATCATTAATAATTACTACCACCATTATAATCATTAACAAATCCACCACCACCACCACCATTGACACCACAATCATAATCGATTATTACCAGCACCACCATCATCATTAACACCAACCATCACCACCAACATTTTTGTCACCACAACTGCCATCTGTCATCATCACCTCCATCATCACTATTAACACATCCACCACAACCAACATCATTGTCACCACAATCATAATTAATCATTACTTACATCATCATCATCATCATTAACATATCCATTCTATATATGCACTTACATCATTGTCAACAAAACCATCATCATCATTCACATATCCACCACCACCAAGATCTATGTCACCACAACCATCATTAATCATTACCACCACCAGCTTCATCATTATCACATCCAAAACAACCATCATTGTCATTACAATCACCATTAATCATTACCGCCACCATCATATAAATTAACATATCCATCATAGCCACTAACAGCATTGTCAAAAAAACATAATTGTCATTAACATATCCATCCAATGCACTTACATTATTGTCAACATAACCATCATCATCATTAAAATATCCACAGCCACCAACATCATCAACTATCATCATCATCATCATCATCATCATCATCATCATCATCATCATAAACACATCCACCACTACCAAGATCACCATTGTCAACAAACAATCATCATTCATTACCACCTTCACCATCATCATTAACACACCCACCACCACTACCAACATCATTGACACCACAAGCATTATCAATCATTACCACCACCATCAAAATAATTAACACAACCACCACCACTACCAACATCATTGTCACCACAACCATCATCAGTCACAACCATCACCATCATTAACACATCCTCCACCACCATAAACATCATTGTCACCTGTCATCAATTATTACCACCAACATCATCATCATTAACATATCTATCACCACCCCTATCATTATTAATACAAACACAAAAACCACCGCCACCATCACCACCACCAACATCATTGTCACAACAACCATCATCAATCATTACAACAACCATCACCATCATCATTAGCATATTCATCACCACCATAAACATCATTGTCACAACAACCATCATCAATCATTACAACAACCACCATCAACATCATTAGCATATTCATCACCACCACTATAAACATCATTGTCACAACAACCATCATCAATCATTACAACAACCACCATCATCATCATTAGCATATTCATCACCACCATAAACATCATTGTCACCACAACTGTCATCAATTATTACCACAATCATCATCATCATTATTAACAATCACAAACACCACCAACATCATTGTCACCACTATCAATCTTACCACCACAATCATCATCATTCATACATCCACCGCCACCATTAATATCCTTGTCATTAATCTTCCGTCTCATTGACATATGTTCAGTTTTTTGTACTTGCCTTTGGCATTTAAAAAATCATATACCGTATCTTACCGTTGTCACTTTCAGAGCTACTCTCTGACAGATTCCTAGTCCTTGTCATTCTTGCTTTCTTGTGTTGCATTTCCGCCTGCCTGCGCATGACATTCTTAACTTCCTGTACAATATTTCTATTTGAATGACGTCTTTTAGGATTTCTGCGAGTGAATCTATCCGTGTCGATATCGGCAATATCCTCTTCTGAAGAACTCGAGTACATGTCCAAATCTGGACGCCAATAACCATCCTGTCTGCAAACCTACACAAATTATTGAAGACGTGCGAATTAATGTAACATACATGTAATTTTTCGCTTTAATGTTAAAAATTTATTAAAATAAGTAAATAAATTAATTACTAACTATTGTACTACAATATTAAAAATAGATATCAAAAAAAAATACACATACAAGTTACATGTTTAAAAAGCGTTTGTTATTATATTAAAAGGCTGGCAATGTCTTTGAAGAAAACTCACGGAATTCAAACTGCTACTTCCACAACCTCCAGCCGAACTTGAAGTTCCTGGCTGTGGCTCCTCGTTTAGCTTTTCAGATACGCCGGATGTCCCTGGCTGCTGGTCTTGGTTATCAAGGACATGATAACTAGCTGCTTGCTGTTGCCTGGTGCTGTTTTCATTGCTACTTGAAGCTCCCTGTGGTTCTGTTAAGCTTTCAAGCAAACGCCGGAGCTCAGTGCGTTGTCTGTTGGCTTCGTCTTGGGCATCAGGTCTTGATCTTTGATATTCAGCATTTGTAAGCCCCAGGCGTCTAGGTTTGTTCCTGGTTTGTCGAACATTATGAGGCTGTGGTGGTTGCTCCATGTAATTTCTGTGAACCATCGAGTTGTGCTCAAAGTTGTTCGACCTGTTACGTGTGTGCATGTTTTGGAAAATTCGACGGGAAACGGCATCTGAATCAAAGAGTACAAGTTCAATCAATTTGACCTTTAAACGATAAGCTACAATAAAGGTTGTTCAAAAATTAAATTCGGTATTCAGTTTTTGTTATTTTATTAGCTTAAAAGCAAGATTAGGTGCACACTTATTTCAATCGATACAGTATATTTGAAGTATGACATCTTTCTCAAACTATTCTCTGACTTTTTAAGTAAAAGAAAATACACATTTTAAATGTATGAATTCACAACGATTTCATTCATAATTTTAAAGGTTGTAATATTCAGAAAAGTTAAGAAAAGGACTTTTTTCAGTTTGGATTCATATTAGAGTTATAGGTCTTTGCTATTGATCTATAATTTTGCTATTGATCTATAATTTCGATTCAAAAAAATGTGCGATGTTTTATGTGAATTCATTCAGCCATACGCAAAGCTTACAATGAATTTTCTCTATGATCACAATGGGCGATAATCAGAGTATTGGTTCTTAGATAGTCGAGCTAAAGTTGTGGTATTGGAAGTTTTACCTCTGATCACGACAGTAAGCAACATTTATTTTTCCAACATAGTCACTTTAAAGGAACAAATGATAATAAATGCAACATATATGTTTAACTTATTTTATTTATGGTTGGCATAAAATTTCCGTCATGACTGGTCATTAAGTAACATAAAGTTAATAGAGTTTGAACCTTTATATAAAATAGAATATTATAAAATAGGTTTTGCTTCGTCATCGATTGCAAAAACCTGTAATTTTATGTTAGATTTTCGCCATATCGACGGCTGAATAAGAGCATTAAATATTCCAGACAATCTGTTATAGAAAAAATATTAACAATTACATGTATATCAATTATAATATTATATGACTAATACTCATATCCCAACAGTCGGAAGTGACATTTTATATATTGCTTATATATGCTTCGGTAGCTTAATATGTTTATTTAGATATAATCAATTAAAATTATGTTTCGAAAAAGAGACAATGTGCTGACAATGCCAGATATGATAAACACTTTATATCCGAAGCTTATAAAATATGTTTTATAAATATTATCAATAAAAATTAGTTAAATTTTGAAAAGACTGATACAGCCATTTGTATATATAAATACATTTATCAAGCATATCACGATCAAAACTGCCATAGAATGTCTAGGACATTCCAAACCAGAACAATTACTCAACAGGTTTGATCGTATATTCGTCTTAGGAATACTGGCCGCCTACGTAAAACCCCTTTTTTAAGAGGAACCGTAGCATCCGTTGGCATGCACGGAGGAAACCTCCTCAGACTATTCCTCGGAATATAGAACAACGGACCTGCTCAGATATGCCAGTAAACATATAAAATACAAAATACATACAGCTCAATAAAGAGAAACGTTCTTTATAAGAAAAATTATTATTTTAATTAAATAGTAGTGTGATATATAATGTAAGTAAACTTGCTTGAAACCATGTATAACAATGTAATGATATGATAATAACCATTATATCAATACTTTTTTAAAGACAATATGTGTTTTATTTACACATAGGTTAAGTTAATTAACAGTGTTTTGTTTTGTACCGACATCGGTTACAGGTTATCTAATGACTATTCTACAAATATCCGAAAGTCAGTTGCATCCCACAGGTGTTCGAAATGTTTATGCTTATGTACAGGCCAGTTAAATGTATGTTTTGAACCGACGTCGGATTCAAATGACAGGGGTCTGGCAGTCGACGTTGGCAAATTTCCGGATGTCGCAAAACAAATATTGACTGTTGAAATGATAATTCCAGCCATGACGAAGAAGGGCTAAGTATCGCGGCGGTCATTATTACCTGAAAACAGAAAAAAGAGACAACAGCAAAGCAAATGGAAGGGCGGGTGGGTATTTTTTCCGTGTTAGTTCACGGCAGCTTCTGGAGCTCGGAGACTGGATCGAAAAGGAATTTGCAGAAGCGTGCTCGGTTTATATACCCAGTTCTACTAAGCATGCGCGAACGAGATTGAATGACTTGTTAGGAGGAGGAGGAGCCAAATATACAGGTCATTGCAAAAATACTGTGACGTATAGTGTAAAAATAAAGAGTTTAAACTCAAGCGCTTAAACTGAATATTATTTTTTCCAACATAGTCACTTTAAAGGAACAAATGATAATAAATGCAACATATATGTTTAACTTATTTTATTTATGGTTGGCATAAAATTCCGTCATGACTGGTCATTAAGTAACATAAAGTTAATAGAGTTTGAACCTTTATATAAAATAGAATATTATAAAATAGGTTTTGCTTCGTCATCGATTGCAAAAACCTGTAATTTTATGTTAGATTTTCGCCAAAAGGGTCTCGAAGAATTGAGAGAGCCTTCCGCCAACAGCGGGCTAACATAAACCAAAATAAATGACCCAGTCATGACGATTTAATTGCAGACACTGGTGTGTTTAAGCATACACCACGAACGAAATTTAATTAATTAACGTAGTATTGTGACCAGACAGGAGTTAATGGCACCATCTACTCAAAAAGATCACGGGGTTTTAGGACTTTATCAACAATCCCTATTTCTAATAAAGTTTGTACTATTTTGTATGTTAATATAGATACGTTCCACCAAAGAGAACAGCCATATATCTATAAGAATGTCGCAAACAAATCTGAGACTGAATTAATTAAGTGCTTGGAAAGATGTTGCACAACCATAGGAAAATTTGTATTTATCTAGGCTTAAAAGAAAATTTCTTCTTCATCAGCAGTCGCTGACGAAGAAGAACCCATTTGAATCACACCGTAATGTTCAAGCAAATATGCAGGTAGATTTAAATAAGAAGATACTAAATTGTAGGCTCTATGAAATGAAATGCACATGTCACACAAAAACTTCACATACAAGAGGACATGCCACACAAAACGAAAAACTAATGAAAAGTGTCTTTACTAGAGATGAGCCAACCACCCATGCAAGGAATTGGGTCGTCGGAAAACCTTTTTTTAAACATGTTATTGTTATAACGAATTTGTTCTTCACAACGATACAATTTAATAACAATTTTTACGTGAATTATCTGCAATGAAAAATGTACCAATACTTGGCCAAAATTCACCAATAAATGTACAAAATTACATTATTGTATTTGGGAAAATGCAGCTATAAATGTTCAAAATTCCATGAATATCCTTGTGTAATTTGCACCCATATATGTTCAAAATTAGGAAATATAAGTGGGTAAACTGCACCCATAATAAAAATATATCTTGGTAAACTGCACCCAAAAGTGCAATAAGTCTGGGTAAACTGCACCCATGTTCAATCTGATAGAAATATATCTGGGTAAACTGCACCCATATGATAATAGAAATAAATCTGGGTAAACTACACCCATAATAAAAATATATCTGGGTAAACTGCACCCATAACAAAATATATCTGGGTAAACTGCACCCATGTTCAATATGATAATCTGATAGAAATATATCTGGGTAAACTGCACCCATTATAAAATATATCTGGGTAAACTGCACCCATTATGATTTTTTTTTTTTTTTTTTTTTCTTTTTCCAGGGTGATATATTAATTATTAAGTGAAGTTAAATTACTGCATTGTAATCCGTCGACGGTATCACAAATACATTTAAATGTGGGTAAACTGCACCCATAATTATATTTATTATAGACACTGCAAAACTGAAGTAATATCTTTATAATATGCAATATGTTTTGCAGTATTTTCCACCATATTTCTACTGCGTTACTAACGCAATGAGGGTTATTTTGCATATTTTGACTTCTTTTATTTTGCTGAATTACATAGTTTTTTTTTTTTTTTTTTTAAATTTTCATGAAAATTTGCATGAATCTGGAGGCATGCTGCTTTAAATTAAATGGCATGAAAGTACAGCCATTGAAGCTTTATCATTTGCATTGGGATATCTATTAAAGATACAATTGTATATCATCAATACGTTTCCTTTTCTATTTTGTCGTTTAAGCGATGCTATTAAACGTACCAATACACTCTAGAATCTAGATCATTTGTGTGCGGTTAAAAAACGGACATTTTGCCTATAGCTAATTAATAAATATATCATTATAGCCAAACATGTACTTTTTAGTAAGTTGTTTCAAGATGGAAATTTGGATATTGTCAGTAACACGTGACGAAAAGTAGAGAATTTCTTCAAACTGAAGGCATAAATATCTCTTAAGTAATTTATTAGATTTTCTAAGTAAGTTTACGTTTAATTTCTAGTCCAAACTGGTATTCTTCAACATCGATATGCTACTGTCACACAATGAATTCCTTTGTATTATAAACAAGGCTTTATAGTTTACATTAGGTAATTGAGACAAATGCAAACAACGTTTTGTGACGTGCGTATTGTTACAAAAGCAGGTATGCCATTTATATCAAGTTTATGTAAGACTGAGGGTGGCTATATTAAAAACAGAACCGAAAATAAACATAACACTCAATTCCAGATTTTCTGTAGCCCGAGGGTGACGAACTAATTGATAATTAACTAATCTTTCTACTTCCGGTTGAATATCTGAAGAAATGCTTAAAGATCCTGTATGTTTTGTAATTGATATTGTTACTGAGTGTATACCACACTTGCAAAAAAAAAATATATATATGTTATGTATTATATATACTATATAATTATGCAAATAAAACAATTTTCAAACATCGAAGAATATGTAAAATGTGTACTGCAAACATTTGTGCATATTATATTTAATCAATAAATTATATGCATTCATTTCTTATTGGAAAATTTGACTTTATTATAGGAAATACATTTCTAATTACCTCCCTTTATTTACATGAAATGTTAAATTAGGTAATATCGTTATAAATAATAATTATTGGAACTTACAATATTGACAGATCTTAATTTTAGCATCATATTTATGAAATAAAACCATGAACAAAATATGAAACAGGATCTTTAATGGTATTGGAGGGAAGCCTAGATGCCTGTTGTGGTTAATCCGGGAATAGCCATAATGGCTATTCCGGGAATAACCTTGACCATTGAAAACGTGTCATTGAATCAGCAATAGTATTTTGTATTGAACATATATTTATTATTATTATTATTTATTTTTTTTATTATTATTATTATTTTTTTTTTTATTTTTTTATTTTATTTATTTTATTTTTTTTTATTTTAGTGTTTATTTCTAAGATAAACAAATATTAGATGAAAGCAAATTTCATCACACGTTCATTTATTCTTCATGGATCCATATATTTTGTCTGTATGACAATTTCATATTTCTCAGCAGTATTAATTATATTATTTTTATTTTTTACATCGTTTCCTAACAGATGTATACAAGCAACAATTCCACTTGGTACGAATTCTTAAAAGAAAATTTCTCAAGAAATGCTATTCTCCCCATAAGCCATGCCGTTAATTACCAATGATCGCCTTTAATATAAAATTCAAAAACTTATTTAACCTTAACTCATTAAAATTGATACGACGAAACCGTTGAGCAATAGCATCCATACCATTGCATCATTATTGTCATTCTTATTATTAGTATTATATATAATAATTATTATTACTTTTTTTTTTTTTTTTGCATTTAGTAATAAAACTCAAAACTGATGCTCACACTCAAGACCACGAATTTGTGCAAATTATGCTGAGGAATTCGGATGGCTTAGTTTTCGGCGTCGATTTCAGTCACTTAATATGTAAATACTTAACTAAACGTCACATGTTATAATGTAAGAAAACCAAAATCCTAACCTAATGACAGAAAAGTCATAGGTTTAAACTACTGCGATTTGAACGATATCTATAAAATTTTAGAAATTATTGCTTGACTTTGAAAATGAAAATTGTGCAACCCGACCCTTTAAAAATGGCAAATGTTTATTTACAATTAATGTTCCCGCAAATGATGAATGCAGATTTAATATCCAAATAGGCATATTCCCTAGATTTAAACTATATTTAAGAGCAAAACCAAGAGCGTATATCTAGTTCATGTTAACTCGAATGTATTGTAAATATAGACATAATTTTACATCTCTGGAAGACAGGGGAAATGTTCAAAAAGTTAAAGAATAATATTGTGATGACTAGATGTAATTGTATCAATAGTCACATGTCCATTTTAAATCATTAATTGACTTTTCTTTTTCCTGTCTCCCCCAAATATTTTATTATTATTGTCATTTTATGAATTAAAGGTCCTTGATGTCTTATAACTTAAATGTACTCGACTGAAGAGATTTTTGACATGACAGTACTGGAAAAAATATTATATTTTTTTTTTTTTTAATTATCGTATTATTTGATACAGTAATAGATAATTACTAATGTGCAAAATTACAAAAAAATCCATCACTCCAAGGTATCCGCCAAGTTTAAAACATTTTCTTACAGTTGTGACAGTTGCTTTTAAGAAATATTTTATGTTAAAATACCGACATTTTGTTAATATTCTGCATTTTTGAAGAAACTCTTCTGTAATAAGGAATATATGTGTATTTAATTGATAATGTCATTTTTGTCACAAACAGCATAGATTAAATTTTAACTATAATTTGTATTTAAAAAACAGTGACGTCACCTGTCTATCGGTTAATCTGTATCAACAATTAGCTTGATTAGGCATCACAACTTCTGCTGGTTCTACCGACTTCTGTGTTCTGTTTCTGGTGCCATTGTCTAGAACATAATGTTGACCAGTCTCTTCAAAGAAACCTTGACAGCCAGAAAAACTTGTGACAGGTTAGGTTGTCGTTTGGCAATGGCCCCAGCAATTTGTAAAAGAAGTAAAGAATAAAATCAGAATTAAAATGCTGAGTCTACAACAAATACAAGGTTAACGTCTTACGTTTTATCACGACTTATAATGTCTACGAATGACATTACTAACCATTATGAAGCATCCCTACGTGAAAAGTTTATTGTATTAAGGGATAAGATCTACCTGGACAATCATTCAACATAATTTATGGGTAGATAAAGGTTTATTTTATCAATACTACTTTATAAACATTAACACAATAACATACTGCCAGGGCATTTATTACACTGTATACTCCACTAGTCCACAAGGTATTTGTTACGTCATAAAGTCTAGTGATGACGTAATCAAAATAATTTTTGTTTTTATTAGGCTAAATAAACCTACTGCAGTATTGCAAAATAGTATCAACAATGTCTTTAGTAGGATCACTTTTTTCTCAGACCTTTCTCTGCCCTTAAGCCTACAGTATCGGTAATAGATCTAGATTGTCTAAATCTCGTGGTCGTAATAAAATTGAAAAAATTGGGTTTGTAAGATAAATTTAACACAATATCAAAAGATAATAAAGAAAAGCAACTCTACCTTCGGCTACTTTAAAAAAAACACAAAAATGAAGTCTTATTGCCATGTTTGTTCAGAACCGCTACATAATTTTTTCTCCAATATTTTTCCGTGTTAGTTCACGGCAGCTTCTGGAGCTCGGAGACTGGATCGAAAAGGAATTTGCAGAAGCGTGCTCGGTTTATATACCCAGTCTACTAAGCATGCGCGAACGAGATTGAATGACTTGTTAGGAGGAGGAGCCAAATATACAGGTCATTGCAAAAATACTGTGACGTATAGTGTAAAAATAAAGAGTTTAAACTCAAGCGCTTAAACTGAATATTATCAGAATTTACCAGAGCACAGTTCAGTTTCCGCATCGTTCCTGGGCAGGCTGTCAGACAGTTTACCAGTACTAATTGCAGTCACTTTCGCAAGGAACTGTAACTTCTGTACATACCAGAGCACAGGTACAATGCGAATGACTGTAGAAATTTTTTTATGATCAATCACAACGGAAGCAATGTCACCGTCCGGGAATCGAATTCGGGTCGCCAGATTTATAGTGATTGCAACGCTCTACCGGACAGGTAAGCCCGAGAATCGAACCCACAATGTCGAGATTAAAAGTCTCGCGCTCTAATAGATTGAGCTATGCGGGCTCGAGCTAAAGAAGTAATGAATCATATGTATATACTTACTGTCCCGGTTGACTTCATTTATTGGCTCGGTTCGTATTCTCGACAAACGAGAACGGGATCTGCCAACTACACGTACTCGATGTGGTGCACGGCTGAAATTATACATGTTTATATTTCATAATTGAATGGGTAAAAGCGATGCAAGATGATTTTGTTGTATTACAAGTGCCGAGCGGTATCCATTCCTAAATAATTAAAGGAACTCCACTAACGTCAAAAGACATAGAGACATTTAATTTGAAAAATCTACAAGGATAACAAAGAAATATACTCAAAATTAATTGAAAATCAATTTTATATGCGATTATTAGCCGAATTTGAAAGAAAAGCGTTGTAACGCTTTCCATTTGTCGGTAATAAAATGATTATTCTGGAAAAGCCGGATGAAGAATGAGCTATAAATGTGCACCCAAGTTTTTGGATAAGACCTAAATCAACTGGAACACAATCTACGAAGAGAAAAAAAATCAGCGCTGTAATGTAAAAAAAACTTAATGGAGTCTCTTTAAAAATTTTTAATAGGAACAGAAATATATAAGAACACTGAGAGGAACACAAATTACAACTATTCGGCATTGTTCATATTTCCTATTAAACGGTAATCGGCAATTAGTATCGAATGCTGCAACACTGCACAAAACTCTTAAAGAGTATCCTAACATTTGCGTCACTTAAAAAACGATATAAAGATTTTTTCAAATTTTGAAAAATTAATTTGCTTCTCGATAATAGATGTGCAAAAATTTATATCAAATGAAATATACATAAAAGTTTTGTCACTTTGTTACTATATAAAATAGTTTTAATTTCATTTCTACAAATTCATTTTAAGTGTAATAAATAAGTTATTTTATAAGGTCTTGATCTTAATTTATTGATGACATGATCCGTCCTTAAAGAAACATGTATCCTGTATCAAAAAAAATATTCACTCGATATCCTTTATCAGAAATATTTCTCAATCATTCGATATGCTATACAAGAAAGATCGATATCCTATACCAGAAATATGACTTACCCATTCGATATCCTATAACAGGAAAAAATATCAGTCGCTAATTCGATATCTTTCACTCACACAGAAAGATAACGAGTGAGACTAAAAAAAAGGATTGGAGCACCGCACTAAATACCGTATTCCGGTATATTATACGACAAGGCGCTTGAATCATAAAATGCTAAAATCTTGCCTTTTTACCCAACGGAATGAACTGAAATAGTCTAATTCATCTTTTCACACCGATTTATGTATGATCATGAATGAAAAATGTAAAAATCTGCGAAAAAAACGATGTTTGTCTATTTTGTGATCATGATTTCTGCAAGCGTCTTATTAGGGTACTGCTCCAATCCTGTATTGAGTTAAATCCAAAGATAACTCACTTCATTTGATATTCTTTTTTATCAGAATTGTCACTCACTATCTCGATATCATATTTATCTCTCCTTGGCAGTTATCTTTATAAAATAGATCAATTCACTCATTTTTGATATCCTATAACAGGGATATCTCTCACTTGGCAGTTATCCTTTATAAAATAGAACATTCACTCATTTGATATCCTATAACAGGGATATCTCTCACTTGGCAGTTATCCTTTACAAAATAGATCATTCACTCATTTGATATCCTATAACAGGGATATCTCTCACTTGGTAGATATCCTATATCTGAAATATTTCTCACTCGGCTTATATCAAATTCTATCACTCGGCCCCCCGCCCCCCAATATCTTACGCCAGAGATACTCTCTCGCTCGGCTGATATTTCACTCGGCCTATATCTAATACTGGGAATATCTGTCACTCGATCATTGTCTCCTTTACCAGAAAATTCTCTCACTGAAATTCTCTCACTTTGTCGGAATGCCTGTATTATAAATATCGCTTAACCAAAGACCTTGAGTTCGAGTCTTAGTTACATGGTTATATCACGATCATGCTTCTAAATATGACAGCCAAACTGCCTTTTATGAAGTTTTTATCAAATATGTTTTCTTAAATATGTTTTAATATATTTACACTACGGAAATTAAACTGGAAACTAAAATTCCTTTTGTGATTTTGTGTGTATATAATGCAGTATGCGGGAATAGTTGCTGTACTTTTTACTCTTACGCCTACAATCCACCCCTACCCCTACCCTAGCTGGGGCGTAGACATGTCTGTATTTCAAAAATTGCAAAAACAAAACCCTAACAAATAGTTGTTGAAAAGAGGATAATAAGATATTAAAAATAAAAACAGGCGGGTAGGAGCGGTGCAGTGCGGTACGGTCGATGCGGTGTGGGAAACTCAAGGCGAGACAGTTTTTTATGCAGCTATGGCTGCACTTGAAATGCTCTACGGTGGGGTAGGGCAACTGGCGGGAAATAGGTGGTTTCCAGTAGTATACAATCCTAGGAAGGACAAAGGGGGTGGCCATGACGTCGGTGTTTGGGAGAGGTGCTTACATTATTGTCTAGGATGTAGCCACCACAGCCATGCGGTGAATTTTTGATAGAAATGGAAACCTTAGATGTATACGTCTAGTTCCAGTTTTCGAAGCTTAAGGAGTGAAGCATGTCGTGACGCTAGAGGTATGCCATAATCTAGCTTGATCCATCGCGGTTTTCTATTCAATATGTGATAAAAGGTTGATGTTGTTCATGTGTTTTACCCATACCCATGTCGATTTTGCGACTTCCGTAAGAAATTGTTTTGCACGGCCGTGCATGAAAAATTATGGTTTCTCGCCACGAGCCTCGCCAAATATAAAATTTTATTCAACTCGTTCAATAAGTTCAGTATTAAAACTTTCACTCATTCAATATCCTCTATTTTTTCAGGAAGACCCGCTTTGCTAATTGTGAGAGGAACTTGTGGGCAACCTTTTGCCAAATGTCCATGTCATTGTATTGTAACTGTCTACCATGTGATGTATAGTGTCTTATTTTGCAATATAAATATGTTTAATCAAATTCCTCTTTTTTTATCACTATCGTGCGATTTTGCGGCTCATAAGTATAGCGTATTGTATCGACGCGCGATAAGCATGTTGCATTTGCGTTTTATACAAAAACTGTGAAAGACGCATAATGTTGGCATATCTATTCATGGTGTTCTGATTTATCTTTGAGGGGCGGAAGCATGACACTAGATCTTATAATTTAGGAGAGGGCTACTACATTGGAGGTCAATGTACTTATTCTTACTGGGAGGAGTGGAAGGCGAACAAGGAGGCACAGGGATCCTTAAATTTTAGGAGTAAGCTTACTACCTTTTTTGGTTGTTCACCTCGTAATGTGCATCCTGTTTAAACTAGGACATCCAGCACTTCACTCCCACTTGAATTGCGTAATGATGTTATTAAAATTCGGAATTATCGGTATAAAAATGTATGTCTCAAATACAAAGCGTTATCTTTAAGATATTTTATATAATAATTGATTCATCTTTATGTATTTTCACCCTCGAGAAATTTTCCGTACACTATGCTGTTAATGTAGTAAATACTAATACGGGAATATTTTCATCTCTTATATACACTGTAGTAGGTCTATTTGTAATGGTTTTAAATATCCTGGCTACAGTATTATGTGCTGCTCGTTCGAAAATAAAATTAGAGTTGTTACACCAGCGTCCCTGTTAGGTCGGTCTTCCTCTTCAGCTGGGATCCAACCTGATTGGGTTCCCTCCACTTGTCGCCGAGGTTCATCCGGTGGACGTCCCATATTTCGGCTCAACGCGTTTAATATCTATGAAAACTACATTATTTTAAATATATTTAAGAACAGTTGTATATTTTTTTGCTGGAAGTGTTTAACACTGAAAGTATTTCGAAACTACAAAAACTTTGTAATTTTTGACTGCGGTCTTTCAAGCCCCTCTTTTGTTGCTAGAATCAAACAATCATAATAAACGTCGTTAGGCAACCGACCTTGTAACGACGTCTAGACACTTCCGGTCTTGTGCAGGGACGCTTTAATAGTATGAGAGTAATGCACGTTCATTATGATTTGATAATGCCGTTGTGAGCCGTTATATTGTCGCAACGCGCTGAAATGTTCGGCACTTACCGCTAATGTCGCACCAATAACGCTAAATGGGGCGCAACTGCGCGGAATTATCGCAAATCATTTGCCGTTAAAATGTCGCCAATGTTAACGTTAAATGTCGCCACGAATTTCTTGCTCGCGTTTTAAATGTCGCACACTACCTTTAAATGTCGCAAGATATAAATTCATGTTCATGATGTTAAAATCATGGATTAAAGTAGTAGTTTTTAATTTAAAACGCTTCTAGTTGATTTATGTCATTGCCATTTTACGAAAGTATCTTTTTTTATTGTTTTCTTTTATGACCTAAAATATCGCAGAATTTGAGCTGCCTACATATGGAGGATATTTGAATGAGTTGTAAGTTCATCTGGAATTTATTGCACGGTTGAATAAAATTATATTGTGCGAGCTCTTGGCGAGCCATATATTATTTTTTCACTGAGTGCAATGAAATTCGTAATGACTACACGAATTTAATTATTTCTATTTTTATCAGCATACCAAATAAGACCGTTTAGTGAATAAGAGTAATTTTACATTGACGCGCCTATATTACAACGCTAACATTTAGCGCGTCTTGTACATTATGTTTGTATCACCTAAATGACGTCACGTCAAAAATATGCACGGCCGTGCAATACCATATTACGGAGTCGCAAAATCGGCGACGGGTGTGTTGATAAAATGTAAATATAGAACGCTAGAGCGTATTTCTCGAAAAGATACAATTGGAGTCAAGTCTCAATTAGATAAGTATTTTTCTTTTGTCTCCCTTTTTCATTTATAACCTGATGACAACATCTTAAAAGTATTATGATATTGTCGACGTCAGAATTCGGTTTAAGTATATTTCTTTGATTTGAATACCTTTTTTTCTTGATAGTACTAATAGTAAATTACAGTCATACTAGGCGGTTAAGCCCCATTTACACAGTCCCGGTTTGTGTCCCGTTTGCCGTTAGTCAACCCCATGATCAACGTGGTTAACCAGCGTTGGGTCTTTGAATTCGTGAGTAAAAGGGACAAACCATGTGAACGCGGAAAAACTG